AGTATAAGGTCGTAGGTACAATTAATCGAAATAACATAGAAAAAAGAAAATATACCCGCCGAATGATATAGAAAAATGAAGAAGATGAAGTGAGAGATAAAAGAAAACGGAATACTGCCTTGAGAATTCGATCAATTTCTTGATATTAATAGTAACGTATATGTGTATAATGTACACATAATTATATATCGAGATAAAAACAATAAGAATATGTATACATATATATATATATATAGATAGATAGATATTATTTAGAATTATTCACCTGGTAATGACTTCTTCTTCCGCTGCTTTTTAGCCTCTAGATAAAAAAATACATGCAAAACGAAATTGATTAGCAATCTATCTGAAAATGTATATGCCAATAAGTCGCGCCATTAACAGAATTCAAGTCTTTTAATTATAATTCTTTTTCTTCCATTTCTCGTTAATTTTCGTAAGAAGGGTATTTAATACTAACAAATGAGGTAGGTACAGCCCAGAAGGTCTAACATAAAGAATGAAAAATGGCTACTGTTTTATGATAAATGGACAAATTTTCACTAATATAATTGTAAAAGTGCATAAGAATGCATTCCTGGTAATACACGCACGCACGCACGCACGCACGCACGCACGCACGCACGCGCCAGGAAAATACAAATTCACCTTCCAGGTTGTGCAACAACGAAATACATACAGAGGAGCATGGATCGTCAAAGAAAAGAATTATGCCTTTGATATTCTATTTCCATATATAAAATGTCCCAGAAATGGCGTACTTTTCTTAAATACAAATTTAGAAAAATTGGATTAAAACAACTTATATCCAATATATATCAAAAATTCAGATAAGTTTAGTGTTTGAAAACAATTCTCCCGCACCTTTTTTTAAGTAAGTATCAATCCTTGACATTTTTAATATAAAATATAAAATTAAAAGTTTTAGTCTCTGATTTGAAAAGTACGTGACTTGTAAGACAGTTTCTATAAAAATAATTTGAAAAGATTATAGAATAACAATTTAACCAATTTTGCAATTATCAAATGTGAACCTCATATACACATATCAGACAAAGATAAGAAAACATTATACAGCAGAAACATTATACAGCGGAAACATTTTAGCTATGTAGAGAGGAATAATAACACAAATGACTCAAGAAAATATATGAAACATAATCAAATAATGGCACCTTGAAAATATTCTACCGATAAGAGCTCCTTCTTCTCATAAATTATATATGACACTTTACTAAAGATAAGTTGGCAGAAATAACTGTAATTTGCAGATATTATTTTCGATGTTTACTCACAGTGCCTAATATATATTGAATGTATAATTGAATGGGGAAAGAATTTTTTATTAATGAAAGAATTATCATGTAATAATACTGCTGCGTCAATGCATTTTACGAGAATATTTTACACTTTTTAAAACTAGAAAGTATTCGTTCTTGAAACATTAACAAATCAAAACACAAATTCTCTATTGCCAATCAGTTAATGAGTTAATAAAAATACAGAAATCGATCTGTAGGTGTTGCAAATGCAATGTCGAGGGTAAAAACAGGGAATAAAAAAATGACTATTTGTAAAATCTGTAATAAAAAATTGTCACACCAATTCACGTCAAAACCATGCGTCCACTGCGATTCGTCTACACTCATTTTGAAACATTTCGTAAATATCATGCGAGGATATAATAGAATACCAACAACTTCTATTAAAGGCAAATCACCGTAAATTCGCTGCTTGTACGTCATAACATATTCATTTATCGGCTTTTCAATAGACTTTTCAATAGTTTATTGAATGATTCAGAAGTTGCTAGTAGAGAGACAGGTGTACTAAATCATCAGAGTGGAAAGAATATGAGAATATCGATTTTGAAATTAATCTAACAAAATCTAATAGAATTTCAAAAAACACGTACTATATAAGTGTAAATATAAAAGATTACATTACTCCAAGAATTTAGTAACATCTGTATAAATATATAATCATTCAAAGTGATTAGTCGATCGGAAATAACGATTACACGTACCTTTCTTCATTTTCTTGATTTCTTGTTCCTGTTGATCAACAGCAGCACCCAGTAAGGTAAAGATAATACCCGCTTGGGAATTAACACCTACTGCAGTAACTAACATTTTTCCGGAACCCTCCATCACGTGCGTACCTTTTCAACAATACAAAATAATTTTCCGTCCTATGACAATTCTTCCAAAATTTTGAACATTTTTTTATACATTAGAAATAATGTATCAACGAAAATAATTCAATCAAGGCTCTCTCACCTGAAAGTACCATAGGATCGAATGCTTCCCCTTTCTTTACATGATCTGACTCTCCAGTCAGACTGGATTCATCCACTTTGAGATCGTTGCTTTGTATAAGAATACCGTCTGCAGGCAACAGGTCTCCATATTTTATCTATATTGTCAAACAGCTAATTTAATATAAATTTTGCTTTCTTCTACTACATTATAATAATATTAATAAAGATGCCGTACAAAGTTAATCCAACATTAACAGATTATTATATATTTAAAGACTATAAAAAATGTGATTAACAATGCTGCATATATACCTGACAAATGTCACCCACAACAATGTCAGATACGGAGATTTGTTTCACTTCTCCTTGCCGTATAACCGAGAACTTGTGTTCTCCCTCTATCCGACTTTGAAGACCTCTAAACTGTCTCTCCTTGGAATAGTCATTAAACGCCGTCACTAATACCACCACAATTACAGAAATCAATATAGCGAGTCCTTCAATCCAACCGTATTTCGCTTCGTCCTCATCTACACTCACAACTGGAGATAAACGAAACAAATTATTGTAAAAATCTCTTTCTCTCTCTCTCTAGAGTCTTTCTAAACCTAAAGCTGACACTCTCTGCAGTTATTACATATACACATCGTGTGTGTATGTGTGTGTGTGTGTGTGTGTGTGTGTGTGTGTATGTGTGTGTGTGTATATAAAAGATTTTAATATAAATTTCTTACTATACTAGCTAACAATAAGTGGAAACTACTCATAGATAAATATATGACATCACATCATAAATACTTACCTTCTTTTTCCTCATCATCAGCAGGTTGATAAAAGCTAAGACCTAATGAAACCAATGCTGCTACTTCTAAGATGATTAACGTGACATCTTGCAATGCTTCCCATACTAACTGTAAAAATGTTTTTGGTGGCTTTGGAGGTATCATATTGGAACCAAATGTATCTCGCCTATGTTGTATATCCGCTGCTGATCCACTAAGACCTACATAAATATCACAATTATCACAATATATTTCTCATCATGTTTTTCTATGTCAGAATTTTTGTTTGTCATGATTCTTAGACTGGTAGTCCAGTTCTTACATTTAAGCCTTTTTAAGTACAGTCTTAAGATTAATGTCTAAGTCAATTAGAGCCATATTAACATCTTAAGACATTACTTAAGATGATTTTAAAATAACAACTGATTATGAATATCGGCTTTATTAAGCTTTCAGAGATTAGAAGAAAGTGAAGCTTATCTCTTGTCGACATAAATACTCTGTCCTAGTGAGATACAACTGACGAACCTACCTTCATTGGGTGAAGTATACAGCTTTTTACAAATCTCCTGCACACCACCGTAGCCATTGATCTTGTTGACACCTTCGCGACCCCGGAGCTCCATGAGCTCACGGAGTTGCTTAAGCGTGACACCATATTGGGCCGGCCGGCCGTCTATCGTCGCCATGATATCCTTGTCGCCTCTGTTGGCCGAAGCCAACTACTATTGCGCTTCCGCAAGGCTACCACAGCTCGTATTATTCTCTGGCGTCTCTGCTCCACTGGCCTCCAAGTGAATGGAGGACCAACGGCTGAAACATAAGAGAAACCTTCTTCAATTATCAAGTTTACAAGTGCAATGAGATGCTAAATGAATATAAACACATGTTCCATGTTACATTCATATACACATGTTACATTTAACTTTCATTTCATTTGTAACTTAAATTATCGCAGTGTGTCCACTGACTGAAAATCACAGTCTATGGGCCACGTCGACGCGTCACGAAGAAAGGATTAAATAGACGAAATCTACCATCGCGAGGCGTGTAGCGCACATCGTTGCACAACGGTCGTGCGTTGCACGACGACAGGTCAGCTCTCCTTGATCCGGCGGTGCTGCGGGAATCGAGTAACGCGGACGCAATCGATATCGGGTGACCGCGTGCCAGGAAGCTGAACGAATAATCCGACGATGAAGATGATGATGACGGCGACAAGGACGAGGGCACGCGGCTATGCTCGCGACGGACGTTCTCGTCGCTTATGCAACGCGATTATTGATTCCGGGGGTGTGCAGCGACGTCGAAAGGAGCAACATCGCTTCGCCGTGCTGGTGCCTGCATACATGTAC